TATATATATATATATATATATATATATATATATATATATGGAGGGTCAGCACAGGTATAGACTCAACAACCTGGCTGTTCTCAGAAAGGTGGATCATCTTATTGGAAAATTTTTTGGAAGGAAAGTACAGAAAATAAATAAATGCCACAGAACAGAAGTATCTGCTGCCCTGGGAGGATTGATGTTTTATTTAGGTATTAGCCTTTAACTGACCATTGTGAGAGGACTGATTCAAAGGTAAATAGGTACATCATTAAAATGTATTATGTAAGTGCTTTACTGTGAAAAAAGAGTGAAATACATAAAAAAGGTAAATTAAAAATAAAATATGATGTAAAAAACATATAACTCAAACAACTCTATATGATGAAATATAACAGCTCTGTGAGCAGCAAGGCTAAAATGTTTGTTAGAAAAATATTTAGTTGCTTTTTAAAGGCTGCTTTATACTGATATATTAATACCTCAGACTTTAAAAATGTTTTTACAATTTGAATTATGACCTTTTGTTGTATGTATAACATACATATTGGCCACAGAGCAGCTTAAATGAGCCCCTTCCATTGATAAGAAAGCAGATTTTTTTCTAAGAAGGTGTTACAGGTTTGGAGGATCAACTTTGGGCCTTTTTGTTAAATGCAAAAAGAGTGGAAACAAAAAAAATATTTATTTTAATAAACCGTTGCCATGAGGTGCTAAACTTTCCTGCTGAATGTACATATAAAGGGATAAAAACATTTTAGTCATTTATTTTAAACATACACTGTAACCTTAAACTGCCCTCTAGTGGACAGTTGAAGCATGAACGTTCAATGTCTTGATTTCAGAAGTTCTTGTAGAAATAACCAGACTCAGGCTGCTGTATGTTATTCTTTAACAGAAGTGTCTCAGGTTTTCCTCTGATCTTTTTTATGCGCACTCATTAAACAAAGCTGTAAAAATCATAAATTGAACCTTATAAAAGCCTCTGATGTGAACTGCAAACACAGACCACAACTTTTCACCTTCTCTGCACTGCCTTTGTGCAGTTTTAATATTCTAAATAATTAAAACTTTGATGCAAAAACAACCTAATATATTTAAATGTTTTTACAATAATCAACAGTTTTAATATTCAACACAAAACAATTGAACCAATTTAAAAGTACATTTTACAGCTTCTCATAATTTATATTTCTTAATACTGATTATTTATGGTTATTCAATATTAATTTAGTGACCCGGTGTGCATTTAATATTTATTAATAAAAAAATAAAAATGCTTAACCTGAAGTAAAATAAACAGAAGAAACCCGGCTAAAACCATTGTAACCAAAGCAATTTTATGTTCTCTAAAAAGTATTCAACTGTTCATAAATCCTAATGTTGAATATTATTAGAGTATTATTTTCTAATTATTATTAGAATATACATTTTTTTCATGTAGTCTGTCACTTCCTGATGGTTTTCATGTTTTTTTCATCCATCAATGTCCTCTAGGTTAAAGAGTTTCCTTGTTCTGTTCTTCATTTAAACCAGCTTGACTGTATGATCTGGTAGAGTTTTCTCTGTAAACTGACTATTTAATAAAATAAATTATCTATCTCAAAGGGCAAAAGTATTTAATCAGCTGACTGAAAACAAATGCTGGTCTTAGTTTGTCAGAACAATCCTGTAATCATAAAGCTATATCACTGTGTTTTATTTGAAGTGAAAAAAAAAGCAGTCACAGCAAATTAAATCCTTCTGTCCTTTGAAGTGGGCATTTTACCTCTATAATTAGATAAGAATTAGGACTTTCACAAACACTAATTAATTGATTGTTAATTGGGAAACATTTCAAAAGAGATATTTAAATTTTTCTTAAACAATGGGTCTGGGAACGGATATCTACAGGAGGAGAGAATGGACATTTCACTCGACGAGTTTCTTTCGTTCCTCTTTAATATATTATAATACTGGTTAAGCTATATATATATATATATATATATATATATATATATATATATATATATATATATATATATATATATATATATAATTGATCTATCAACTTTGTGTTGCTACACTACAAAGAAGACTTTACATGAATATACAAAAAGTTCAAAGGGTGATGACACATTTGGCTAACTGTGTTTCAAAAGATTTATTATGTTGAACAAAGCCTCTTAAGTTCTGATAGTTTGTTGCACTAGAGATCTGAAAACATGTTTAACTTAAATTAGTTGTAATGCAAAAAAAGTTTTCTACCTATTGTAGGATTATTCTTTATTATTTATCACTAAAATTTGCTGCCTTCCAATAGGATTTGTCCTTTAGATTTAACTCATACCTGAGGGAGCAGAGCTTTCTGGAACTAGGGACCCAAGAGGCCGTTTGTGGGACTCAAACCAGAGGAACTTCAAGCCTTCCTAGGATGCGTGCTCCCTGCTTTAACCGACAGATCCATCACAAAATAACCCTGATAGCACCACAGGAAAAGTCTGTTCCTGTTTGTAAGCTATTAGATATAATATTCAACATTTGGGTATTCAATTTAACTTTAATATTAGCTGTGATTTGCAGCAAATTTCTGGCACTAGTCAAGATGATTGCATCTGGTCGTTGACTTTGCAGCAATTCTTCACTCAAAACAGCAACTTACAGCAGAAGTGAACTCTGTCTAAAACACAATCGGCTAGAAAGACTTGAGGTTTGAGAATATAAATACAAAAAAGAAATAAAACAAAAAAATTGGATTGGTAGCAGAATAGGAGATGTTGGAGTCGGAAGCAAGAGTAGCCAAGCTAGGTTAGGAAGATTAGGAAAGAAAAATAATTTAACAAATTTAGTAAGAGTTTTGAATCCAGTATAGAGGCAGTTAAAGACCTGATCTAACCCTGTCACAAAATGCTTTATGAAACTGTAGAAACCAAAGCTCAGCTTTAATTCAAGAGCAAAATGCATCTATAGGAAAATTTTGGTACCATGGGAAAGAACTGCTGCCTAAAGGGTGAAGATTTTAAACCCATTCAATTAAATCCTGTAAATGCCATCAAACTGGAAATGGATGCAAGAACCAGTCGCTAAACAGCTAATATACCAGGGTTTCTCATCTTTTCTTAACCCTTTAGCCCTAAAACATAAAATAATGGTCAGACATTTTTTTTTCTTAATGAACATCCTGGGGGAAAAAAAACAAAAACCCATCAATTTGAAATAAATTCATTTAGATATTGTCTTAAACATTAGGAATTTCTATGCAGTGCAGTATATGTTCTGATCACTGCATGTGTCTGATTGAATGTTTTGTAAAGGTTTCAAACGATGTATTACATGTCATACCCTCTGCAACCAATGGATCTACACTTACCATTAGTGACCACTAGAGGGAGCCCTACTTGTTTAATGCTGCAGGTTTCAGAGGTTAAAAGCTGCAGCTATGCTGAGTCTCACTGCAGTTTAGAGTGTGGGGAGAGTTTGTGACCCAGGTTAATGGTGTCAAGTGACTGCTGAAGACATTTAAAGAGAAGAGATGATTGCATTTCTACCATTTATTATAAATAGAAGCATAAAGAAGTATAAAAATGAGCTGTTAGTCATATATTTACATGGCATATTTATTCGGACAAAATAAATAAACATTAAAAAGAATACATTTAGAATAAGTTACTGGAAATCCAGGGAATAAAATCAATGAAAGGAGCTTTGGTCCGTTGTCTGACAGTCAGTCAGCCCCAGTAGTCTCTTGGAACGAGTGGGATGCAGAAGTCTTTACCACACATCTGTTTAAAAAAAGCAGAGATCCAAAGTGTTAGGATGGATAAAATAAATGCTTAGTTTAAAAAAAAAGGAGTGATGAGAAAGGTTAGATGTATCGAACCTGACAGGAGGGCTGGGATGCTGGCTGTGTCTGCAGATCTCCATCCATGCCCACATGAGGGTCTTCACTGTATCGAGTTCTTAGCTGATTTCCTCCGAAACTACAGTTCCCAGAATGCAAGGGTCTGTTCTGGCTGTAACAGAGGCCTTGGTACCGGTTCTGGCCCTGCATGTGCTCTAAAGCAGCAGAGGAGTTCTGGAGGTAGCTAACTACATCAGGAGAGGAGGTATCACTAGTTGAGGTGTCCACTTGTTCTCTCCTCTGAAACAGAACCTCCTCACTGAGCCCCAGCTGAGCTGACAGGTAGGAAATATAGCGGATGGTGAGACGCAGAGTCTCTATCTTTGTCAGAGTCTGTCCAACCGGTGCCACTGAAGGTGGAAGGTAGGACCTGAGGTGGTGCAGAGCCTTGGTCAGATCCCTCATCCTCATCTTCTCCTTCTCACTGGCGCTCTCCCTCTGCTTGCTGCGAATCCTGGTGCTGCGGCCCTTCTTACGACCACGTCCGGGCGGGGAGAAAGGTGAGGACTTGAGGCACTTGGCTGCTTTAGGAGTGGACTGTGGAGGCTGCTGGTAGGAAGGGGAGAGGCTGGAGTCCATGGAAGTGACGGGTGAGAGGGTCTCTGGGGACGAAATGCTGGACAGGTCAGTGTCAGAGGACCACTGGTAAAGCAGGCTGTAGTCCAGGAGAGGGACAGAGGAGGTATCCATGTTGCTCAGTGGTCTGACTGGAGGAACTGGGAGGCTGGAAGTGCTGCTCAGCTCTCCTCCAGTGGTTTATAAGTCCAAGCCAGGCCGCAGAGGTGTGAAGTGACACCTCTGCAGATTCTGACTACACGCTGTCTAAAGCGGAGGCCGCTGCCCCTCAGCACACACACACACACCCAGGCTCCAGCAGCGGGACCCTCTCCGGCTCCTGTCTCTTCCCTCTGCTCTGGGAACGTCCAGCTCCAGGAGTTGAAGTGTGAATTTTGACTCCTGCTGAAACCAACAAACATTTTCTACTTTTCTGATTTTCGTCTCAACAGGAAGCCCAATGCATTCTGCACATGTTTAACAGCTTGTGGGAAATAATCTGTTTAGTTGATTTTGAGAAAAAGGGTCAACATGAGGTAAAACAAAAAATCAAGGTCTTAAAATCATTTTCTCTCCGTGTTAAATAATTATTTCAGAGTGTCTTCTGACAGAAAAAGCACAACATATTCCATATCAGGAGCAAACGTTCTCTGTTCAGCCTTTCCATGCAGCTCTGGCCGAGATGGGAGGCTTCTTCTGTAAGAGGTTTTAATAAGATATAAGATATATATGAGGCACTTGAAACAAGAAAATGGAGACCATTTTCTTGTTTTAACTGCATCTGTACTCAGAATTCACCTTTTGCAATGCATTTATTCAGCTTCATTTTGTTTCTTTTCTTTCATTTTTTTAACTTTTCATCAACTAACAGAAGCTTTCTTCTCCCCAGACTTCTATTAATTTGTTTGGTGCACAACTGCTAAATGTCCTGGGGATTTTTTTCAGCTCCTCCAGGTCCTCTTGGAAACTTCGTTAATTTCTCTCATGTCCGTCTTGTTGGACGCCCATGTCTCTCTGACACGTAACAATCCTGGTTGTTCTTCGACGTCCTCTAACAAACCTCTTAGTTAACGGCTCTATGTGATAATAAATTACACTCAGCTGCTCTTGGTTTACTAACTAGAAGAAACCTGATGGCAGAGTTTATTTAGAAGTATATGACTAAAGAGGAGGGAGTATATATATTCCACATTTTTCATAATCTAAACCTGTACACTGCAAAAACTGATCAAACAATAAGTAAGTTCTTTGTCCTTAACCCTAAATGCCAAATGTATCATATTTGATACATACGGT